GGTCCTTAAGCAGAGGTGATGGAAAGACCTTGCTGACTGTTCCTGAGCTGCTGAGGGCTGTGCTGCTGTGAAGGGGGAGCAACTCACTTAGCAGGGACTGGCTTTCCATGCTTCCTTTGCAGTGAGGGAAGCTTCCCCAGACACACAGACATCCCTGGGATGGCAAGCCCTGAGCCAGGCACCATATGTGCAACAACCTCTGGAGTTTCCCCAATCATGCACTAACAAATGTGCTCATTTGCTTGAGAGGAGCCCACCAGAAGAGCTTGGGGACATTTCAAAGAGAGCTTCAGATCAGAGTTCCACTCAACTCTTGGTCTTGGATACAATCCAGGAGCAACTAGAGAAGGAGAACTGGGATGAGATGAGAAGCAAGGTGTCAAAGGTTCCGAATGTCCACAAGATCTTAATAGGTAACAAAGATCCACCTCTACTATCCTTAGAGGCTCATGACCCTCCTGAGCTGCTGGCCTCCACTGAGACTTCAAACCAAGTAAACCCTGGTTATGCAGATGCCCTCTGGACAAACTGCCACCTGAGTCTCCAGAACCAAGGGACTTTTGACAAGGAGATTGAGAGTAGCCCAGGATGGGCAGTTGTTAGGGTCCTGGTGGAGGACATTCTCCTTCACCAGATTTTCCATTCCTTCAATAATTTTGAACAGTCCAACAATCCCACAGCCATCAAAGCCCAAGAAACTGGAGTCAACAAGGTGAATCAGATGCATCAAAACTCAGCCATCACCAAGGACCCTTCACCTAAAATGAGGAAGAAAAAACATAAACCCTCCAGGCAAAACAATGCAGCTCCTGAGGCTAAAATGCAGCTGAAGACCCCCAAGAACCGATCAGGGGGACAAGAGCTCATTTGCAGTGCAGCAACCAATGACAGGGCTCACGTGGACATGGCTGAGCTGAGGAACAGCAAATCCCTGAATGTAGCATTTAGCAGTACCAGCCAAGCTAAGGGATGTGGGCAAGCTAGAATCAAGGGGACCAGAGAAAACAAAAGCAAGAAAATGCAATAGAGGAGTCAGTCAGGGCCCAAAGTCAAGGAAGGAGAAAAGCCAACTATTCTCAATGTGAAGCACAAGAGAAACCAACTGGTGCTTGGCCAAGAGGCCTTTAAAATGCCTCACACCTGCCTAGGCATGCACGTGGTATAGTCTGTGCAGGCTTTCCTCCCATTAGGTAGGAAGACAGTTAAGACAGCTGGGCCCTTTTCCTCCTAGGCACTGGGAAAATCAAGTATCACCAAAAACTCCAAGATATCACCAAGAGCCAAACCATGGCAAAGGGCCCCATGTGAGGGGCAGAGGCCTGAGAGTATCTGGGACGACTTCCAGAGCTCACACAGCACTGCTGAAACAGAGGCTTCATCTGCATCCCTGGGTGAGCTGCCACCACCTGGGCAGGGGAAGTTAATACCTTTGCCTTTTCCTAGCCCAGAAAAGCCTCAAGCAAGACCAGTTTCTCAAAGGCCACAGCCTCCAGCCTCATGGCGACACCCTGTAGCTCACCCTGTCCATCCTACTGTTACTAACACAGCTCAGCCATCCCAAACAGCAGCTGGCAGCATGTCTCTGATGGGTCCTGTCAAACCAGCTCACTCGGTCCTGGGAAATGCCAGGCCACCACACTGGACCACTGCAAAACAGCCTGGACTTCCTCAGTCTGCAGTGTGTAAGCCTGCACTCCAAGCAGTATCACCTTTTGCCTCTCTTGGAAGGGAGTCTGTTGCCACTGCTGTGACCAAGTACAGGGCCCTGCCTCAGCCTCACAACCCATTTCTCATTCAAGACTTCAGCTGCCAGCCAATTCCTTGGAGGGAGCCCAGTGTTCCCAAGCCAGTCACATTAAGCCCCATCACAGAGGAACAAAGGCCAGATCAAGAAGTGATGAAGAGGCAGGCTCAGCTAGAGCAGGAGCTGGCAGCCAAGTGCACCTCCTTAGGGAAGCTGCATTTTTTCAGGCAGAGGGAGAGCGACAAGGAAGTTGCTCAATACTACGGATACATAAGATGAAAGTCACCAGGACTGCCTGGGCATTTTGGCTACTGAGTGGTTCTGCACATAGTTATGTAGAGAGAGAAG